TTACAATTTTCATCTGCTCAAGCAGAACGTTAATGTCATCTTGTGCTTTAGCAAGGTATCTCTGGCTAAAACTAGTTAACGTTAAAGTTAGTGAGTCCATCGGAAATAGGGCTGAACGATTTTGGAAAATAATCTAATTGCGCAATTTTTTTACCCCAATATTGCGATTGCAATTGAATATGCAATTATTTTTTAAAGTATGTTCTGTATTCTGTATTATTCAACAAAGACATGCTATAAATCATTGTATAGTATGCCCAACACACTATATTAAACATATGCATGAATTGATATGAATGACATTTTTATTTAACAACTACAATCACAGTATATTGACTGATTTGTTGAACTTCCAACCTTGTAAGCATGTAATTATTATGACAACATAAAGCACTGACAAATAAGCCTGGTGTAAACATTAATATGAAAGTCAGTAACAAATCACACAAACTAAAGTAGATTGCAGAAATATAGAAACAAATCTGTTGCTTTACCACACTACTTTAGGTAATTCAAAGTCACTGTAATAAACATATGTAGACATGTGGACTGCACTAAACGCTGTCTGTTAACTTTAGACCGGTGGTTCTCAAACTTTTTTGGTCGTGTAACAGAGTTAAAAAGAACATTAATTCTAATGATATTCATGGTGTTGAATTACATGAAATTAGAGGGTAAATTAAATGAAACAGTGTTTTGGTGCCCCCTGGTGGTTAATGCGTTGCAGACATTCATTATTTTGTCCTTGCGCGCCTACCGTAGTTCAGCAGAAAATGGCTGACACTGCTGCGGGTAAGCGTGTTACTCTTCTCTCCTGTTTAAAAAGTGATATAAGTGTGTTTAATATGAGTTTTTCACATGTAAACGTTTGTAGTGATTATATCAACAAATGTACAGTGAGTTGGATGGGTTTATATGTCCGATGGAAACTTTGAGTACTTATCGTTGTGCCTCGTGTCTCATGCGGTGAAATTAACATGTTGCTGCTGATGTAGCTTCAGATGGCTAAATGGAAAACACACAGTTACCCTTAATGAGAGTGAGTTTGTTTATTTTATGTTTTTCTTATTTCAGTGGTTTATGTCTGCAGTGTTTTCACCCTGTGTAATAATACATTTTGATGTATTCCTCAGGTATGTGATTTTCATGTTTATTTTCGTTATTTTGTTAACATGGAATTGTTACAAGTTGTATGGAGTTCAGCAGAAAATGGTTGACACTGCTGCGGTGGTTTATGTCTGCAGTGTTTTCACCCTGTGTAATAATACATTTTGATGTATTCCTCAGACACGATTATCATTGCTGCGGAGAATAAAAGAAAGAACAGACAACCAGAGTCTTGTGTGCGTCGTCCATTTAAAGTTTGTGACGGAAGTGTTAAGGCCACATTGGGGACAACAATCGTTACAGTCGCGCCCCCTTTAAACCTATAAAAAAATCTGCCTAAATTTATGTCCTTTCACTTTTCTGTTATTTTCAAACGAATTAATGAAAATTGACTGTTTTTACTTTTTTTCAGAGTTGATTGAAGATAATGAGGCAAAAGAAGAATTGAGTGAATCTGAGGAGAAAAATCATGTCAAAAGTGGAGTTCAACCAAAACAGAAAGATTTAAAGAAAAGAAGAGCCAATAAATCTTTCACCTGCACTCAGTGTGGAAAGAGTTTGACAAACAAATGTCTTCTTGAGCTTCACATGAGAGTTCATACTGGAAAGAAACCGTACACTAGTGATCAGGGCAGGAAGAGTTTCACACAATCGGCACACCTTAAGATACACATGAACATCCACACTGGAGAGAAACCGTTCACTTGTGATCAGTGCGGGAAGAGTTTCAGACGAACTTCACACCTTAAGGTACACATGAACATCCACACTGGAGAGAAACCGTTCACTTGTGATCAGTGCGGGAAGAGTTTCAGACGATCTTCACACCTTAAGGTACACATGAACATCCACACTGGTGAGAAACTGTTCACTTG